ATCATCTTAAAATTCACATGAAAACTCATGATCACATGAAACCTCACCAATGTACAACTTGTAATCGAGGCTATTCAACGGCCGCCGCTTTAACTTCCCACAAACAGAATTGTAAACGATTACAAAATGGATTAACAGTTAACGGATCAACAAGGATTAGACCAATTCTAACACCATCAAGTATTATGTCAACAGAATCAACTAATTTAGATATGAAAAAACCTTTAATTGGGATGAACAACAATCACAATCTATTAAACGAGAAAACTATCCACCGATCATTAAAATCACCATCAACAACAATTGACCAACGAGTCGATACATTTAAAAAGAGCCTCGAACATCAAAAACTAAAGACAAAGGTAATTCACTTATTTACTTTGTAAGACAATAAAACAAAACATAAATGACCTTTAAAACTGACCAACAGGTAAATTAGAGATTAAAGTTTATCTGTTAATCGGTTTAACATTAATCCTCCTAATCTATTAATACAAGAAACAACAAAAATCTATCAAATAGCAAATCAAATACAAGAATATTAATACATTTTAACTCTCGATATTTTATCAAGAATTTACATATTTACTCAATGTATCGTTTTCTATTTACAGATAACTGACCAGGTCAATGGAAGGTCAGATAATTTTGATACAAAAAGTTTAATTAATCAACAACAACAACAACAAGTTACTTGTGGTCTTTGTGGTAATAAATGTGCATCACTTGATATTCATATTCGTGAATCTCATTTGCATCAATTACTATTCGCTGGGCTATTACAGAACTCAATCTATTCAGCTTCGGCATTTGCTAATTGGCAACAATTAACAACACTACCACCCCCACCACCGAACCCTGGGCTTGTCGCTGCGGCTGCAGCAGCAGCAGCGGCGGTTGCTGCCTCATCATCATCATCTTCCTCTTCCTCAACATCCTCATCACCCACCATTCGTAATAATAATGGTTCCAAGTGTAAGGATGATAAGCAAACTCTTAATTTGTCCAATGGAAAATGTAAATCACCATCTCCCCAAGGAGGTTCACCTAAACGTCCCAAGTTGATGTCACCATTGATGAACCTTTCACCCTCCTCATCTTCATCATCTTCATCTCCTCATCATCATCAGCAACATCCAACATCTACTTCAACAAATGGACCTTTAATGATCAACACATCAGCATCTTCATCTCCATCATTTAATTCAACAAATCTTCCGTTCTTTTGTAATCAATGTTCACCTTCATCATCTTTCCCTGATTTTGAATCATTTCGAGTTCATTTAAAGTCTCATTTGGCTGCTGGTCTAATTCATTCATCTGGTTCACTTGTTACTTCTCATCCTCATCCACCTACTCTTCCACCTTTACCATTACCCTTACCACCACCTCAACATCATCATCAACACCATCACCATCATGGTAATTCACCTATTGAAAGATCATCATCAACATCTTCCTCATCATCTTCATCTACTTTACCTTGTCCTTATTGTGAATCAATAATTACAAGTGAATCACTTGAATCTCATATAATCAATTCACATTTAGGATCAATGGTTTCATCGTTTTCCTGTGAATCTTGTAAAAAGATATTCACCAAATCAGATGATCTAACCAAACACCTAATCGATTATCATTCCCATCACTTGTACCAATGTTCAATTTGTCGTGAAATGTTTGACACTGACGTTTCCTTGCAAGTCCATTTCCAAGTGAAACACTCGAACCAGTGCAAAGTATTCAAATGCTCAATTTGTAATCAACTTTGGTCCAATCAAGAAGATTTCAAAGTCCATCTTAAAGTGTCGCACTTTTCACCAAATACTAATGGTAATCTAGTCTCATCGCCGTATCATTCCCACTCTCACTCTCACACTCATTCTCACCCTCATTCTCATTCTCATAATCACCACACTCGCACCCTAATCAACATCACCATCTAAACCACAACCACAACCTTAACCATAATCACTATTCAAGTGCCTTCAATAACCTTAATCATCATTTGCCCTCTTCGTTAGTTTCCTCCACCAGTAATCTTGTTAATCCTTTCTCAATGTTTACTCCTAAATGTCAATATTTTAAATGTTCATATTGTCCTGATGAATTTCACATTGAGTATCTTCTTGAGAAACACATTCAAACAGTTCACCTCGAACCTCAATAACAATAACACGAAAATTAATCACAAGGATAAAAGTGTATCACAACCAATGAGAATGATAATCATAATGATACAAGTTCGAGATCACCAAGTCCAAAAAGGAATCAATTATCTCCCGTTATCTCTGAACAATTAACGGTAAATTGTAAACCATCGAAAACATTAAAACGGAAATCAAGTGAAATCGATATTGATATTGAGACAACTAATGATGATTCCAATCATAATGATGATCAGGAAGATGATGAAGATACTGATGAGATCTCTGTGAATATCAGTAACGATCAAGGTGATTGTGATGATAACTCAAGTCAAAGGGAAAGTCCAACGACAACAATATCTTAAATTAACTAATCTTAATTGTAATAAAATTGTAATCAACAAAATCTTATCCTAAATAATAATATATATAAATTAAACATTTCATGTTCAATTAAATTGTCTCCAAGTCCAATATCACAAATGAATGATAAACAATCAGAAAGATTGTCAACAAACGAGAAATTAATAGTTACGATAAATTGTTACGATAATTAAAAATGAAATTAGATTAATATTAATACCATAACAATGAAAATAAACAAATTATCGGATTAACGACAAAAATGAGGCCACTTTTTGTTTGGGATAAAATCAACACTCTACTTGATGGTCAGTGATGATTTCGGACATGCAATGTTTTTTTTAGTAACAGTAACAGTGGTCAACATTGTGATGGTCATTAAAACGATGAAATAATTTCAAGTCAGAACTTTTTTAATCACTATCAAAGTCGTTATCATAATAATGATAATAATAATAATAGTAATAATCATCTTCCGTCTTCACCAACCATTGTAACTTTCATTCATTAATTGAATCAAGACTTGAAAGTTAAATGGTTTCACCTAGAAAATGAAAAAAAAAATGAATGAATCAAGTTAATAATAATGACCATCGTACTTGTGGTCATCTCATCTGATAAAAGTTAATTAATGGTTTTTAATTCACCATCTTAACAATCTAATTTTGTATTCATATTTGATGGTAGGGTAACACGCGTTTCTCCTTGATTAGTGTCTCTATTTAATCATCATCATCAGGATTAGAGGGAGAGAGAGAGAAACAAAATTAAATATATTTAATATATTCTGAGCTGAGTTAATTGTTAACAACAACAAAAGTGCGTGTTTCCAAAACTATATCATGATGATAATGATGATCAAGATGAAGATGAAGATGAAGATACAGTATATCTAGTTGGAAACACGCATTGGTATTAATTTGGATTGTGTGACCGAGCAACAAGAAGATGAGACCAAGTCCGTGATGGACAATTTACCACCACCACCACCACCACCACCATCACCGCGAATTAAAATTAATTTAAATTAACTCTCCAAAATGATGAATTCAATTAACTTGACAACAAACATTAATTCATTCACAGCATCTCTTCATTCATGTTACGCCATTTCTATTACGAAAAAAAAAACTTTTTTTTTTCTCACTTAACTTTTTCTTTCTTCTTAATATTATTTTCATCTCTTCTTTCCTTTTTTGCCCTCAGGCAATCATCTTATATATTTATAATATATAAGATAATGAAAACCATGTTCTTGTGGGCTAGACAGTCACCAATCATGATAATCATGTTAACTGTCATGATTATTATTATGGTACGTGCAACAAGGTGAGTCGATATGAACGCTTCTCAATTATATGAAAAGGGTTCGCGATTATATGTTAATAATAATAACGGAAGCTTGAGGTCAAAAGGGACGAGTTGACATACGAGGAAATTATTTTAATCATGATTATCATTAAATTAACATACAAAATATGAATGGACCCGTGAGCCGTTAATTTGTTTGGTGTGGGGTCTTTGAATGGTGCCAACGTTACAATCTTAATCACTTACAGAAAACAAGTTACAATTTAATTGACACCAAGCTTTGGTTAACAGTTTTTTGTCAGTATTTTAATTAGTTACAATCATTGAGAGATGATAATTAATAAGGTTTAGATTGTTGTTGTTGTTAGGAAAAGGAAATGAAGGAATTAACTATTATGCCAAGGTAATTAAATGTAATTTAAGTTTGGGTGTCATTGGTGAAATTAGTGTTACTTTAATCTTTGTAGATTCGTAACAATTTAATTGTTATTAATGAGAAATAAAAAACTTTTTTTCCCTATGAAAGTGTTTTAAAAGTTTTCACTCGTTCTGATGCTCAGTTCTCATGCAATTGGATATAATTAACTTTAGATTTTTCTTGTTTATATATTAATGATATTCATTGGTGCATGATTAATGAATTAGTTTCATTGTTGATATTTAATCAGAAAAAGTTATTGGCTTGATTTGTTTTAATTTCAATAATTAGGTAATAGTAATTAAAAGTTTCACTCATTGTAATTAATGAAGTGTTGTGGGTATTTTAATAAAAGCTAATGAACAATAAGAGTAATTAAATGTATATTGATTTGTGTTAATTTAATAGTTAATAGAATTAATTTCAATAGTTATTATTATTCGTGTCATATAATAACAATTAGTTAATTTGTTTCATTTAAGCTTTTGATGAAATTAATTTACTCGATGATAAATTGATGGAAAAGGCTGAAAATTAGTTTCTCATTCTTTGGTAAATTGTTAAATTATTAATCACTCTTGAAAATTTAATGCTATCATGTCTAGTTAATTGTGCTAATTTTTTAGTGTAAATGTATTAATTTAATCAAAATTTTGTTAAACAAAATTTGTTTACGAAAATTTGACATTTGAAAATCGCGCCTTCGAAATTAACGAGATAAAATTTACTGACATTTACTGCCACCTGTTGGTGGATAATTAGAGCAGATGAACTTTTTTTCAATCTGATAAACAATCAAATCAAATTTCAATTTAATTGTTGATGCGTTAATTATGAATCGTAATTTACAACTTTCTATTAACATGATGCTAGTATTTCTCAAGGTATGTGCACATCGTGATCTATTGATGTTGTTATCTAATATCGGGGATACCTCCTTTATTTTGATTGTTTTACCAGATTTCAAATGACAAAGCCTAATGTTAATTGTTGATTATTTTTGTAGGATGAAGGAGATGACAATTTACTTGGAAAAATGAATTAATACTCTGTGCGATATGGTTTCAAACGATTGGTTTGGTGAATTGGTGGTGCAAGAGCAATTTGTTTTCATTTATTCGTATCAATCTAATGTCAAGTTGATCATCTTTGATTAACTTTTCATATTCACTGTGGCAAAAATGTGTACGTCCAAAGGAAATGAAAACAACAATTCCAAGAAAATGGAGATATTTATAGATTATTCATCGGTGCAACGGTAGCTACTTCAATCGATGATTAACAATCATTACGAACCTCAATTATCTCTGAAAAATTGATATGATATTTAATTATCTTGATCAATTTAGCTACGTTCGTTTGAACCTGATTGATTAATGATCTTAACTCATGGAATTGTATGAATGAAGGTTCACTCATTTGTTGACTCGAATTTTCCTGAAAATCTTGGCCATTTCTTATTCTTACCGAGAGATTTTTATCATCAAACCAAAGAAAATCAATGCAAACTTTTGATTGCATTCAGTTTGTGAATCCGCAATCGAATTCACGTTAATTTTCTGAGCCAAGTCGACTTCGAAGATGAAAAATTCTCACGAGATTGCGGCGAATTTGTCCCCAATTGTACAGAATTTGCGCTTCTCTCAAATTTCTTTCTTTTCTTTCTTACCTCTCTCTCTTTCTTCAATTTTATCTCTTTTTATTTTCTCTCTCTTTCTGTCTCTGTCTCTCTTTCACTTTCTTGGAGATTCCTCGTGCCAATCGCATCATGCACGCGCTTAGATGTTACTGTTTTGTGTTATGATTAGTTAATGTCCATTTTTATTGGTTTATAAATGAAAAGTAATCAAAATGTAAATCTCATTATCAACATAAAGCTACAATTAAAGTACAAGTTAACCGAATGCAATTAGTGTGATGAAACTGATTCAATGGTAAAATCCATTTTATTAGACGTAACTGAGCCACGAAGATATTATATTGAGAAGGTGATGATTAGAACTTTCTGTTAACTTTAAGATTTTCATTTTTCGTCTCGAATCACCAACTAGAAATTGATTGTGGAAGGAATTGATTTGTTTCTTCAAATTATTTCAGTTCCATTTGTTGGATTTTCTTGTTTGCACTTATTAATCTTTCTCTCTTTCTCTCTATTAATTTTAGTCGATAGAATTCAAATTGGGACAAGATTGTTCTTCCTGTTCTTCCTGTTCATTTTTCCAGCCAAGACTGAGGAGTCGCTTTAATACTGAACTGTCGAAGTGTAGAGTCCAATGTCGAAGCATTTCCAGAGGCATAAGCAGTAAAGGCATTGTGGAATAGAATTAGTTGCTTGTGCATCACTTTCGCCTTATTTTCGTCCAAGAATTTAAGCTTAATGATAACATCTTGTCGTAGTCTTTCATATTTAGCTCGAGCAGCGATTAGATTCTCGGTGCTGGCTGCAGCCGCAGCTTGAGCTGGTAGCAAGTTTGCCACGCTATTACGTTCAGCATCATACTCTAATCTTGCTTGTTCAAATTGTCTTATCGTAACTATGGTATCGTCAATGGTTTTATTGACTAAAGTTGATAAATTGGAGCAGAAAAATCGAAGAGCCAAAATCAATTTTTCACCATTTTTGGAAACCAAACGTAACATTTCAGCATTTTGTCGGAAATCAGCTGAAAGATTTAAACTGCTCGGTGAATTATTAACATCTTCTCCATTTCCATCACCACCTCCAACTGAACTTCCACCGCCACTTACATTTGATGTAACACTCGATGACGATGAAGATATTTTAGTGTCTACTTTCGGCTCTTTTAATGAGAGATCACTAAGCGATTCATAAAGTAGAATCTGTTGTTGGACTAGAGATGAATACATCGATGACATATCTCGAGCGATCCTCAAGATGTGGGAATATTTTTTCTGGGTCTCTCTTAATTTATCAATTTCACTTTCTAATCCAGTATCAATTGTCCGTTGAACTTTTCCTAATTTCTCATTAACCAATTGTTTAGTACATTTAAATGTTGTTATCGACCATTCCTTGATTGCTTCTGAAAATGAGAAAAGGTAAAAATCAAACCATTAGAAACATTAAACTTTACTTAATTTAGGTGTTGCCACTTAAATGGTATCTTATAGGAAGGTGTAAACAAAGAAACATTTCCAAGTGACAATCAATACAATTTATCAATATAGTGATATGAATAGAAGGGTTGAAATGAACACAATTAATTGGATAGAAAATGGTTAATGTGTAAAATGAATGAAAATCCGGAGAAATATAATAAGAAACTATAAATGATTTTGTCAATAGGAAACTTGGGTTATCCTTATTACCTATTGGTGTACTTTTGGGTGTTGATCCAAGTGGATAATTGGATGAAATTGATGGATTAGTTTCACTGTCAATGCCATTTTTAGTTGAATAAGATGAGGTTGTTGAAGGTAAACCAGGAGGGCCAAAGGGCGAGGACACAGGTAATGTCGCTGGACGAGAGGAAATGTTATTATCTTTGCTGGTGACAACAACATCGGTTGCATTGTTTGTCTCTTCAATTGAGATCTCGGTCATTTCGGGACTTGAAGGGATGGAATAGTGAAGTGGATTAACTGTACCAAAATTGGATGACATTTCCAACAATTTAAATCTATTAGAAATAAAAGAAGATTATGAAAACAAAAAGAGACAAACAAATGACCAAATTAAAAGCGTCCAAATGTCAAAATGGTTTGTTGTTATTTCTGCTTGAATCATAATCCACACACATGCTTGGTTGATTTTCCTTCATCATTTCAATGGATCGGTAGAAAGTGAGGGATCTTTAAATTGTATCGAATTAAGAATTAAATTGTTGTCTTTTTCATTCATTTTTCGTAATTTTGTCCAATGTCCATTGAGCAATTTATTCGTGGCGTGATCAATATGATTCCCGTCCATGGGGTGAGAAGACAATTGGAAATTTTGTCATTCGATCCAAATTCAAACGGTTCATTTGAAGTATTTTAATCAATTGGTGTTTTTTTTTAGGTTAATTTATTTACTCGAATTAATTTAATTTTAAGTTTATTATATTTGATTGATTTTCTTTAATCAGTGTCATATATATATGAATTAAGGTCCAAATATGAAAAAAGTTACTCAAAAGTGAATAGAGATATTTAGTAAATTGTTATTGTAAGTAGTTACTACTGTTATTTGGTGATTAATTGTTACGAATCTCAATTATCTCTGAAAAAATTGATATGATATTTAATTATCTTGATCAATTTAGTTACGTTCGTTTGAACCTGATTGATTAATGATCTTAACTTATGGAATTGTATGAATGAAGATTCACTCATTTGTTGACTCGAATTTTCCTGAAAATTTTGGTCATTTCTTATTCTTATCGAGCGATTTTTTTGGCCTCAATCATCAAGCAATGGAAAATTGTGATTGTGATTAAATTTGTGGACAATCAATTGATTTCAATGAATTTAAATTAATCAATACGATTCCATCCATGGGGTAAAAATAATGAATCAGAATTTTTTTCCCAGAGCATTGACTTAACTTTCTGAAAATTATCACCAATCAAGATCAGTTGATCAATAGACAATAACTGACAATTTCTTCAATGAACAAGATAATTAAATCAATTCACCATTGTCTCAATTGTATCGTGATTGTTTCTAAATTGCTAATTAAATCAGTCTCCTTTTTCAATTCCAACCAACTTATCAAAAAGTAAATCAATCAAAATTGAATCACAATATATTCATTAATCAATTACCAACATAAAACACAACTAATCGAAAGAAATTAAAAACTACCAATACCAAACAACAACAAAATTAACAAATCTAATTGTTCATAATTTACAACAATCATGTTAATCAATTAAAAGTAAAATTATCTTCAAGTAATTTGATCAACAAGAGAGAGAGAAACTCAACCAACGATAAGATTTGAAGTGTTAATTGACAAATTAATCGATGAAACATTAATTCAATTCGCTAATAATTACAATTCCAAACTAATTTAGTTAATTGATTATCAAACAAAAAAGTAATCAAATTGTTAAGGTAAACATTTCAAAGAAAACAACGAAACCAAATTTAAGCTCCGCCTTCCGATCAGCTGGTGATCCTTTTGACTCAATGGTTCCTTTAAGTTTTCATTTGTGTCTCATTTTATCCTTATCATTAAAACCTTGAGGTTTCAATTAATTTTTATCTAATAATTGATTAATACAACTAATTAGTAAATTGTATTCTTTGTGAATTAACTGTGATCCAGTAAAGATACAAAGAAAAAGAGAGAGAGAGAGAGAGAGAGTTTCCTTTTTGTTGTTGCTTCTTTTACCTGAAAGTGTGTTTGAGAGAGAGAGAGAGATGAATATTAGAAAACCTTTTATTGGGTTGGTTGATATTGGAAAAAGTAAACTGATCAATCAACTAGTAATTTAACACTAATTAAACTTTTAATCAATTTTGTTGGAAAATTTTGTTAATTCTGTTCTTACCTATTGTGTTTACTCTCTCTCTTTCTGGTGACCAAAAATATCATCTATTTAAACGTTTTCTCCCTCATTTTGGATCATCATTATCATCATATTTTCATCATCAAAACGTTATAGAAGCAATGAAAATCCTTCAACAATTTAGTATGTGTTCGGGTACTTAATTAGTTGATTATCTTGCTGGTTCCTTTTTCAGTGTTTATATTATTTTCAATTGTTTGCCAATGGTTAAAAGATTAACCAACCATTCAATTTAAGTGTTTACTCATCTCCATATAATCACCACCGTTTTCATCATAATCTTGGATTAACCTTGATTATTTTACCTGTTTTACTAATTATGGATGAATCTAAATCCAGTGTTAATCTTAATAAAGATGATTTAATCCACTATGGAGCAGTTAATCCTGTTTATGAAGGTGGAAATAGCTCTTCAGATAAACAACATGTCAAAAATAGATCAAGTTCATTTCGAGAAGCCAATGATGAGGTGGATCGAACTGATTTAACCTTTCAACCTGATGATAAGAAAAATTAGAAACTTATTTCAATGAATGTATTGAAATTCCTCCTCCAAATGATGTAAGTTTAATTTACATCTTCTTCAATAGATTGACAATTTTATTAATTTGATTGTTACCTTTTTTGTTTTGCTTCTTGTTTAGTACAATTTTAGCTGGAGGCGATTATGGCAATTCACTGGTCCTGGTTTCCTTATGAGTATCGCTTATCTTGACCCTGGTAACATTGAATCTGATCTTCAGGCTGGTACAGTTGCTCAATATCATCTATTGTGGGTGTTAATGTGGTCCACTTTTTTGGGGCTTTTAATGCAACGATTAGCGGCTCGTCTTGGAACCGTAACTGGTTTACATCTTGCTGAACTTTGTTATCGTCGTTATCCTAAATTACCAAGGATCTTATTATGGATTATGATTGAAATCGCCATCATTGGTTCGGATATGCAAGAGGTTATCGGAACTGCCATAGCGATAAACATTCTTACACAAGGTCGAATATCAGTTTTTGTCGGAGTATTAATAACGATCTGTGACACATTTACCTTTCTATTTCTGGATAAATATGGACTAAGGAAACTCGAAGCCTTCTTTGGTCTACTCATCACCATCATGGCCTTTACTTTTGGTTATGAATTTTTCAGAGTAAAACCTGACCCTGTTAGCGTTGGTTCTGGACTTTTAATTCCTTGGTGCGCTAACTGTCAATACGGAGCATTAATGCAAGCAGTCGGAATAATAGGTGCAATCATCATGCCTCACAATCTTTACCTTCACTCGGCTTTAGTCAAGGTAAACAACAACAACAAGAGTGATTCCAACCAACAATTAATGCTAAATTGTTACAATCCATTTTCATGGAAAGATATTTTCTTTTATTGTCTCATGTTA